GTCAAATCCTTTCCAGATTTCCATTTGATTTCAGTGGACTTTGAAGATGGATCACCACTCTCATTCAGATGAAATTCTTTGGAGAGAACTTTATTTTCGAAGTAAGGATTTTCATCAAAATAAAAATCTATTCTGTAACCTGATTTGATATCTTCAAATTCTGTCACTTCAACTCCCCAAGCAGTGCGGACACTTGTGGTTGGTTGACAAATGTTGTTACCCAAAAATTTGGGATCTTGGCGATCAATTCTGACCTCTTCTGAAAACATGGTTGGCGGAGTTTGTTATATTTCTGTTCTACTTTCAATATCTCCTCACTGGCTTGTTCATTAAGTCTATTTCATTTTGTACTTCATCGATATGTTCAATTGCTTCTTGTTGTTCTTTTTCTCCCTTCGGCAAACCTAGAGAGGCCGATGAATTCGCCTTCTCAGGGGCGGCAGGCAGTTTGGGTTTTTTTGTTTGAGACTGGAGGGAAGATTGGCGTTTGGGGGCCATTCTGTGAGGGAAGTCAAAGAGCGGTCTCACAGCTCACCAGGGAGAAGTGCAGAGGAGAAATAAGAGTCTTTATGGGGGTTTCTACAGGACATATAAGGCAAAGCAGGGAAAATAGTTTGGAAATTACTAGTTTGAATAATTCTGGCAATCTTTACAGCATAGGAGCCATTCACTAGCTCTTTGGGTTGATTTACCCAGGTAACAGCCAATCAGCAGATAGCTCCTGGTAACTGACTTGGCGTGTGAAAATTAGTAAAGATGTGGCTCTGTGCTGGAGGTGTAGGTCAGTTAAAGTGCTTGCCTAGCATGCACAGGGCCCTGGATTCAATCTCCAGCCCCACCACCACCTTGTCCCATGCACCAAAAAAAGAAAAGAAAAAAAAAGAGAGAGAAGAAGAAGTTGGTTCATAGTATGGATTCCACATCACAGTTGAGATATAAGTAACTGGCTATTAGTTTGAACCTGTGACTAATGAATGGCAAAGAGAGAACCTAAGAAAACAAAATGAGAATACAAGTGAGATAAAAATTTGCCAAATTCTGATTCATACAAAAATGAAGGATTCCAGAAATCCTTCATACAGAACTTTGAAACTGTATAAGGTGCTTAGTCTTCACCTTCAATGGAGCAAGGGTGAATGGAAAAAGAAAAAGAAAGTTATCTTGACTTTGAGACTAATGTCATTAGAGGAGAAAAACAAGGGGAAATAGGAAAACATGAAAAATATATAAACACAGACTATAAAAGACTCAGGATTTTGGTATCATTAAATTGCTTCTTTCACTTATTGCATGAAAATAGAATCCTACTTTCTCAGATATAATATTAAGTAGACTTTGAAACCAAACAATCTAAATGCAAATTTCCCAATTTGATTGATTGTGAGACCATGTGCAAGTTATTTAACCTTTCTAAACCTCAATGTTTTCATCAATAACAGTAGAAGATTACAAAAAAGAGAGAGAGAGAGAGAGAGAGAGAGAGAGAGAGAGCGCAGATGTAAAGTTGCTGAGCAGATTCCTCAAGTTCATGTATGGAAAATTTAGAACAGTGTCTGGCCCATGAAAATGCTTTGTAAGTTTTAGATCTGATTATTATTTGTATAACTAGATTTTATTGAATATAAGATGCAGGTTTTTCTTGATCTTACCAGAAGGTGTCAGTGAAAGTTTTTCACATTTTCATATCATGAGTGCCACTGAAATAAATTATGACTTTGCTTTAAGATGTAGCCTAATTGCAGAGAGTTAATTTTTTTTTTTTTGTAGTACTAGGGATTGAACTCAAGGTCGTTCTACCACTGAGCTACATCCACAGACCTTTTAATCTTTTGAGATAGAGTCTCAACAAGTTGCAGAGGCTGGCCTTGAACCTGTGATTCTTTTGCTCAGCCTCCCAAGTTTCTGGGATTACAGTCATGCACCATTGTGCCTGGCTAGAGGGGTTAAAATATCTTAAAGTGCATCCCTTAAAAACTGATCAAGAGGGATGGGGTTGTGGCTCAGTGGTAGAGTGCTCGCCTAGCATGCATGAAGCACTGGGTTTGGTCTTCAGCACCACATAAATGTAAAATAAAGATATTTTGTCCACCTAAAACTTAAAAAAATAAATATTAAAAAAAACTGATCAAGGGCTGGGGATATATCTCAGTTGGTAGAGTGCTTGCCTCACATGCACAAGACCCTGGGTTTAATCCCCAGCATCACACACACACACAAAATAAGTTTCTATGATCTTATTTCATTCTAAGTTAATGTATATGTGACATCTACCAAAAGATAGTTGAAACTAATAGAATGATTCAAACATTAAATAATATAACTTCTTACTTCTGAAAATTCCGTTTTGTTCAATCCTGATTCTACGGAGTCAGTAAAATCCAATTGTTTGCAATGTGATTCTAATTTGGGGATAAAAATGTTTGCTAGTTAGTTTGGTTATAGTTTGGTTATAATATAGTCATATTTTGTATTTATATTCTAGTACTTAAAAGAATGTAAAATTATTTCTTAACTAATATCTACCCATAAAGTAAATGATATATAGTTGGGTAGCTTTCCAATTACTATAGTATTATTATTTTTCCTGGCTTTTATTTAACCCAGCAACCCAAGTAGTAAAGAGAATAAAGCTAAATTTTTAATAACTGGGTTGAGATAAAGCAGAAACACATATGCACAATCATATAAAAGACTATAAAAACATTTGTATTAATTTATGCTAGCATTTATGCTAGGAGAATCTAAATCAAAACACCTCTGTAAACTTCCATTTAAAAATCTTTTTTGGCCTTAATGTTTCTTAAATTAACTAGTAATATTTATTATATGGTTAGTAAAACATTCAAATAATACAAAAATATGAGCAGCAAAATGTGAATATTCTCTTTTCCCTCTAGTCCCCCATCTGCACACTCATTCCTCTCTGTCCCAGAAGTAATCACTGTCACCAGCTTGTCACCATCCTTTCAGCAACCCTTCCTATGCATTTCCATATGTGTATGTGTACACGGACATATATATTTTTTCTCTAAATGAATATGATAATTTTGATCTGCAACTTGCTTTTTCACTTACCACTCATTGTAGATCTTTTCATAAATAGCTGGAGCTCAGGGGTAAAGTTTGAAATGGAATATGGATTGGGAGTCATCATTGCAATTACAGATTTGAATAAGAAAACAAAGGGAGTGGGTAGTATATAAAGTGAGTCAAAAGGGAAACTCTGGAAAACAACATTTAAGGTTTAAGCAAAATAAGAACCAAGAGGAAAAATGCAAGAGGTGATCAAAGATAGAAGAAAAACATAAAGAGAAAATGATATTACAAAAGCTAAGCAAAAAGTTTTATGAGTAACAGAGTGGTCAACAATAGTGAATTTGGCAGTTAGTTCAAGTAAACGTTTTTAAACTTCCATTTGATATGTCACTTATGTAATCCTTATTGATCTTACCAAGAGAGGAAAATAATTCTATGAAAGCCAACAAACTGGCTTCTTCTCCTACTTCTAACAGTAACTCTTCCTGCCTTTCCTGGACTGGCACAAGGGCCCAGGAAAGATTTTTCAGTTATTCTTGGATTTTGTGACTGCTATTTGTATCAGTTATTGTGGCCATGAAGACTCATATAAGCTTATGCATTAAATGCCAATATCCCTATTTCAGACCTTTTTTTAAGCTCCAGAATATTATGCAAACTAGACTGGCTTCTACCAGTAATAGCTGCTATGAATGTTCACATATATCCTCTGATTGGACTTTGAGTAACTTAAGGAAAGGAAGTATGTCTTTGCTTTTTTTGTCCCCTCACAATATCTGGAACTAAGGAAGGATTTGATAAATATTGAATGAATGGATGGATGATATAGAAAATAAATACTATAAGAAAGGAGTAGGGGCTGGGATTGTGGCTCAGCGGTAGAGCGCTCACCTAGCACATGAGAGGCCCTGGATTTGACCCTCAGTGCCACTAAAAATAAAATAAAGATATTGTATCAACTACAACTAAAAAATAAATATTAAAAAAAGAAAGGAGTAAAGAGGGGAAATAATTCCTATCAACTGGAGTAGCTTGGAATTTCTCTAATGTTCATCAGGATCCCAATAGTGTTGTCTTTACTCACTCCTTCTGTACCCCCATCCAAAATAAATAAACACAGGAAGTTGTTTCAAGAATTTCTGAAATAAGAGTGGAGGTTGAGCTCACAGGAGAATTACAGTTTTGGGATAGGCTGAGAACAGGGAAGAGACAAAAGGTTGTCACTGACACAAGGTCCAAATCACATTTGGGGACCAGTGATCAAGAGGAGGAGAAGCATATTTCATTTTAAAAAGTGAGAACAGACTTCAAACATTGTCACAATCTATTGTTATCATTGTAATAAGTAGTTAAAAATAAATTGAAATTGAAAAAAAATCAGCTGGATCTAAACTATGTAAATCTCAGGACTCAAAGTCTAGTTCTTTATGTAACAAAGTCATATTTGTGTGTGTATATGTGTGTGTGTGTGTGTGTGTGTGTGTGTGTGTGTGTGTGCCTAGTTTCACATAAAGAAATCTTTCCAAAAACAAATGCATCAAATCTATGGTTCTCCATAGGGGTGGTACTGTTCCACTCTCCCAGCAATATGCATGGTGGGAATTTGTGGGAGAGTTTTTGTAATTACAATAATGGAGAGTAGGTGTAGAGGCAGAACCCCTGCAATTTCTGCAAAATTAAGGCTTTCCCCTTCCTGTCAGACATTCAAGTAAGTGAAAAATCTGCTTATAGCAATTTTGAATCTAGAACTCAATTCTATTTTATATATAAACACAGAGTAGAATTTTGCTGTCGTCTTTGTTTTTTGGTGCTGGGGATTAAACTGAGGGCCTCATTCATGCTATGCACAAGCTTTACCACTGAGCTACACCCCCAGCCCCTAATTTTGCTGTTTAATTTTCCAAGAATGTAACTACTGTGAAAATTTGAGGGAGGTTTAAATGTAAAATTCATCTTGGAACTTAACTAGGAGTTGTTCACCATTTCAGAGAATTGTATTATAGGAGCTAACATATAAATTATATCTGAACTCTAATACAACACATCTATGTCAGTCTGAATTTGTAGCTCTCCCTGTCATGGGATATTCTCTCTCTCTCTCTCTCTCTCTCTCTCTCTCTCTCTCTCTCTCTCTCTCTCACACACACACACACACACATACACATACACACACAATTGGATATAATTTTACTTTCCACATATCTAAACACTCATGATAAGTAGGTCCAACTATTGTATTATGTCTTCTAGTGAAGTTGTAACCAAACATTTATATATTGAAATCACAAATATGATATTGTATGTTCCTTTTTAAATTCTCTAAGTATGGCATAGGTTAATAAGGAGATGCAATACAGGGCTGAGATTGTAACTCAGTGATAGAGCACTAGGTTCAATTCTCAGCACCACATATAAGTAAATAAATTCAATAAAGGTTCATCAACGACTAAAAAAAATTTTAAAAGGTGCAATACAGTGGGGCATTGGACTAAAAGAATTGAGAATGATTGATAACTTTTCTATATTGTCTGGATAGAACAGAAAAGCATAATTCATCTATAAAAAGTGCTTTCAATAACATCAGTTTTAATATCAACGCTTCATCTGAATTCAGTGCCCTCCCTGCAAAAAGAGAAAAATAAAAATACCATAGTAGTAGGCATACTTACCAAGCTCGAATTCTGGCTTTTGGAAAAATTCATGAAGAACATTTTGAATCTGCAAATCAGGAAAAAAAAAAAAAAGGAAGGTAGGAAGGAAGAAAGAAAAAAGGAGACCAAAAAAAAAAAGGTAAGGAAAGAACCAAGTATTAATCCTCAATTATCACACATATAGTATTTTAGACTAAAAGTCATCTATAGTCTTTCTGTCTTAAGTGTTCTGTAATCTTTCTAACCCAAGGACAGAAATAGCAACAATTCACGTTTAGTTTAGAGAATATGTCAAGGTATATGAAGTGCTTTCATATGCACATCTTCAGTGATTCCCAACTTTTTGTGAAAGAACTGGGATGCTGAGAGTGATACTGTTTTGCTCCCGTCCTGGATAACATCTCTAGCTAATGCTCTAACACTGGGCATTGTATTCCATGACTAAACACTCAAAGTCACTCCAGGTGAACTGGGCTGCACGAAATAACCACACAGAAACAGAGAAATACCTTTTTCTTTGGGTCCTGTGATGGCTCCTCCGACCTTAGGGGTCCGTGGAAAGAGAGAGGAGCATGTGCTGAACCCTTTTATTGGGAAGAAGCCATTCAAATGAGGCAAGGGATAGGATTACAAGGGAACAGGGGAGTGTAGCTCAACCTCTCTGGGTGCCGCCTACTCCTAGGGCCACTCCCAGGGCCACACCTTATTACTTGATGGAGAGAAAAGCGGCACTAAGGTGCCAGACTATACTGATCTTTCAGATCCCCATGATGCATCAGAACTTAAAGGTGCCTGCATTTGGACTGGCTCCCCACAGAGCATGGTGGAGCTAAGACACATTTAGCAACCAGTTTGACCATCCTAAGAATCCTCTATTCTTCCTTATTCTTTGATTATTGAAAATAAAATTTCAGAGTTCTTGTAAGTCCATTTTTTTTTTGAACTGGGGATTGAGCTTAGGGGCACTAGACCACTGAGCCACAACCCCAGCCCTATTTTGTATTTTTAGTTAGAGAAAGGGTCTCACTGAGTTGCTGAGTGCCTCACTTTTTACTGAGGCTGGCTTTGAACTCTCTATCCTCCTGCCTCAGTCTCCCAAGCTGCTGAGATTACAGGTGTGCACCGCTGCACCTGACTCTTGTTGGTTCATTTTTAAAAATATGTTTCATTTTCTTTAGAGACGTTTTAGGTTTACAGCAAAATTGAGAGGACAGTACAGAGAGTTCCCATATGCTCCCTACCCCACCCCCACAACAGCCTTTTCCACTGTCAACATCCTGCACTAGGATAGTACATTTGTTACAGTTGATGATCCTACATTAATGCCTTATTATCACTCAAAGACCCTAGTTTATATTAGGAGTCACTCTTGGTGTTCTACATTCTATGGGTTTTGACAAATGTATACAAGTATCCACTATAATAGTACAGTTTCACTATCCTAAAAATCCTCTGTATTCCACCTATTTATCCTTCCTGCCCGCTCTGACTCCTGGCAACCCACTAACCTTTTTACTGTCTTCATGGCTTTTTCTTTTCTAGAATGTCATATAGTTAGGATCATCCCATAAGTAGCCTTTTCAGATTGGCTTCTTCCACTTAATGTGATGCACTTAAGTTTCTCCATGTCTGATTGTTTGTTTGTTTCAGTACTGGGTATTAAACCCAGGGCCTTGGAAACGCTAGGCAAGTGCTCTACCATGAACTACACTCCCAGTCCTTCTGGTTTTTTATTTTGAGACAGGATTTCGCTAAGTTGACCAGGCTGGCCTCAAACTTGTAATCCTCCTGCCTCAGACTTTCAAGTCACTGGAATTACAGACATATGCCACTATGCCTGACCCACATCTCCAGAACTTTTCATTTTGCAAACCTGAAACTCTGTACTCACTAAATAAAAACACTTCCCTTCATCTTTTCCCAGGCTTTGGCAACTATCTTTCTACTTCCTATTTTCTGAATTTAACTACTTCAGATATCTCATGTAGGTGAAATAATTTAGTATTTGTCTTTTAAGAATATGTTTAGTTTTATAGAAGACTGACAAACTGTCTTTCAGAGTGGCTGTACTATTTTGCATTCCCACCAACAATGAATGACAGTTCTTGCTACTCTACATTCTAGCCAGCATGACAGCAGTGTTTTGTGTTTTGAATTTTGGCCATTCTAACAGGTGTGTACTAGTATCTCACTGCTGTTTTATTCTGAAATTCATTAATGACATATGATATTGGGCACTGTCTCATAGGTTTATTTGACATTTGCATTTTTTTGAAGTATCTATTCAGTGAAGTATCTATTTAGGACTTTTGCCCATATTTTAACAGGGCTATTTGTTTTTGTATTTTTCAGTTTTAAGAATTCTTTGTACATGTGTTGGATAATGCTCTTTTATCAGCAATGTTTTTTTTTGTTAATATTTCTTGTCAGTGTGTGGCTTGTCTTCCTTGGTTCATTTTCGATCATGCACCTTAAATTGAAATATACTTGGCATTGGATTTAACAATTTAAACATTTTCAAATCTATCCACATCTAAAAGAAAATAATTATTAGAGTATAGTTATTCTCTAAAATTAAGAGACAAAAGCAGTCACATACACAACAAACAAATAAAATCTCCATTTTTAATGATTAGCTTGTAAACCATTTGTAATGATTAGTTTGTAAACCATTGGCAGAATCATGATTTTAGGAATCCAGCTAGATTTTTTTTAAATGTTTATGAGAAAATTACAGGAATCAGTTCTCATTGACCAGATAGGTCAAGATTAATTTACTTCAGCAGTACTGAAATATTGAAGGGAGGTTTCTGGCATTCCACTCAGTATTCTAGCAAGTACCCTCTTACCACTCACCCCAAACCCATTACATACACCCTGCTGTCTTACCACTATGGTAGGAATCATTCCTCTAGGGTCTAGAATCCATTCATCAAATTGTTCCTGCAGAGCCTGTTTCCGCACGCTGGCCACCTTGACTTTGATTGTGTTTATGTGGACTCTTTGTTCTCTTTTCTGTGTAACATTCTCCTTCATCTTAGATACTCTGAAGGATGTAGAGACAGAAAATATTAAGACTTTTGGACTTAGTTCAGATTGTTCAAATAACAGAAAACAAGAATCCAGAGTTCCATCTAAACTTTGTACCTGTCTTTTCTCCCTGAAATCCTTCTTGATGTAAGCAAGCAAAAGTGAGCCCTTCTTCCTCAGCACTTTTGCCACATTTGGCAAAAGATCTGAAATTAGTTTGTCAAAAAGACATCTGCAGTATATGTTTACTACTCACACTAGCCAAGTTATGGAATCAACCTCAGTGTCCAACAACAGATGAATGGATAAAGGAAATGTGATACATGAGCACAACAGAATATTATATAGCCTCTAAAATAAAGAAAAGTCTGCCCTTTGTGACAACATAAATAATATTGGAGAATTATGCTAAGTGAAATAAGCCAAGTAGAGAAAACAAACACATCATGTTCTCACTTATATATGGAATATAAAACAACAGAACTCAAAGAAGCAGAGGTTAAGGGCATATGGGGTGAGTGAGGAGAGATAATGGTCAAAGTATGCAAAATTTCAGATAGGAGGAACAAGTTTTCAAAAGAGCCATTGCATACCAATACAAAGGAAAGTTCATTGAATGGAGTTCTTTCCTTAAAAGAAGAAAAAGTCAATAAATAAATGACTTAACACTACATCTCAAAGCCCTAGAAAAAGAAGAACAAATAAACACTAAAAGCAGCAGAAGACAGGAAGTAATTAAAATCAGAGCTAAAATCAATGAAATTGAAACAAAAGAAACAATTGAAAAAATTGACAGAACAAAAAGTTGGTTCTTTGGAAAAAAGAAATAAAATTGATAGACCTTAGCCATGCTAAAAAGAGAAGAAGAGAGAAAACTCAAATTACTAACATATGTGATGAAAAAGGAAATATCACAACAGACACTACAGAAATACAGAAGATAATTAGAAATTATTTTGAAAACCTATACTCCAATAAAATAGAAAATATTGAAAGCATTGACAAATTTCTAGAGTCATATAATTTGCCCAAATTGAACCAGGATGATACACACAATGTAAACAAGTGACGAGATAGTAGACACCATCAAAAGTCTACCAACCAAGAAAATCCCAGGACCAGACAGATACACAGCTGAGTTCTACAGGACTTTCAAAGAAGAATAATACCAATACTCTCCAATTTATTTCAGGAAATAGAAAAAGAGGAGGAACTTCCAAATTCATTATATGAGGTCAATATCACTCTGATTTCAAAACCAGGCAAAGACATGTCAAAGAAAGAAAACTTCAGACCAATATCTCTAATGAACATAGATGCAAAAATTCTCAATAAAATTCTGGATCTAATACAAAAACATATCAAAAAGATCATGCACCATGATCAAGTGGGATTCATCCCAGGGATGCAAGGTTGGTTCAACATATGGAAATCAATAAATTACAATAAATGTAATTCATCACATCAATAGGCTTAAAGATAAGAATCCTATGATCAACTCAATAGATGCAGAAAAATCATTTGACAAAATACAGCACCCCTTTATGTTCAAAACACTAGAAAAACTAGGGATAACAGGAACATATCTCAACATTGTAAAGCCTATCTATGCTAAGTCCCAGGCCAACACCATTCTAACTGGAGAAAAATTGAATGCATTCCCTCTAAAAACTGAAACAATATAGGGATGCCCTCTTTCACCACTTCTATTTAACATAGTTCTTGAAACACTGGTCAGAGCAATTAGACGAAAGAAATTAAAGGGATACATATAGGAAAAGAAGAACTCAAATTGGCACTATTTGCTGATGATATGATTCTATACCTGGAAGACCCTACAAGTTCCACCAGAAAACATCTAGAAATAGTAAATAAATTCAGCAAAGTAGCAGGATATCAAATCAACAGCCATAAGTCAAAGGCATTTCTGTATATCAGTGACAAATCTTCAGAAAGGGAAACGAGGAAAACCACCCCATTCTCAATAGCCTCAAAAACAAAAACAAAAACAAAAAAACTTGAGAATCAATTTAACAAAAGAGATGAAAGATCTATAAAATGAAACTTAGAACCCTAAAGAAAGAAATCAAAGAAGACCTTAGAAGAAGGAAAGGTCTACCTTGCTCTTGGAT